AGCAAATGTACAACGTTTCGACAAGGTTTTGTCATCATCAGGTACATCAAAACCTTGTCGAAATGTTGTACGTTTGCTGTTATGTTAAACTTATATTAAAGTTTTTCTTCATTACCCATTCAAGCCGTCTCCAGCCATTATTAGTCTCAAAGTGGGTTCCTCGTCATTGAATGCTTTGCACTTGCTCAGTCAATAAGCATGTTTGAGTGGTGCATGAATTTCACTTGTTTTCATGGTATTTATTTTACCAATTCCGTTAAAATTAGTGAGAAATGTGAAAAATTGGAATCTTAGCATGGCTAAGACCAAATTTAAATGCAGTGGAGCTAAAACAACTTGCAGAAAAGCTGATTTGATCGTCAGGGAAACAAAATAATATGAACGATAATACAGTGTCAGACTATTGTTTTGTTACATGAAGACAAGCATAGTTTCAATTTGTTGATATTGCTGAATGCTTACTCAGTTGTTCTCATGGACTGTGGTGTGATTGTCTTGGACCAGCTGGACATACTTGGAATGGCACCTGGTTTTACTTGTTTTCTTTGGGGTGAAGGTCCAAGCACCAAAATATAATTATATATGTTTTTAATAATTCTGCTTTTCACTTAGAAATGTATCTAAAATTATTCCCATTTTATAACATTTTTATGTTGAGTAGAGTTTTAAAATTTTATTTTAAAAATACACTCCCTCCACCATGTCCCCTTTAGCTAAGCTTAGTCTACAAAATTATTTTTATAGGCCTACGACTAGGCTCATGTAATGCATGATAGAGAATAATATTTCAATAATACTTACCTCGTTTGTTAAAATCTATAGAAGGTCTGGAAAGTGATTGTCAGTAAATATCATAAAAGTAAGGAAAACTTTAACATTTTGAGGCCTACTATAGCTGGTTTCAGATACATAGATGTTAAGCATGAAATGGTCATGACAAACAATAACTCCTTTCTTCAATTTCCCCTGGTCTTTTCTTTCTACTCTCTAGACAATTCCAGATTTGAAAGCAAAGAATGACCACCTCTCTTAGAACATCCAGGCATGCAACAAGTTGTTTGAGGCATTTTTGAACTATTGTATTTATTATTATTATATTTATGAAGCAAACAGAAAGCACGATAACATGGCGAGACAAAGAACATGAAGAATTTGAACATCCAGATATCTAACTATAGACAAGGACTGCATAGCTACTGGCATTCTCTACTAGTATAATTAGCACAGTTCCTCAGTGAAACAAGGGTGTTGATCATTTAAAACAGGAGTGAAAAATTAAGTGTATCATTATGAAAACATTACTGCAGTCTAGCTTTAATATTTAAGTGCAGTTATTTCACGATACTGTTTGTGATGTGAATAATTGTTTTTATTGTAATTACATGACACTGTGTGTGTATATAACACAGAGAAACATAGCAAAAGACACAATTTTTTTTTACCCAATGTGAGAAGTGTATTATATGTCCTTATAATTAAGAGACCGTTAATTCACAGCACTCCAATTCTACACTAGTATAATTCAATATCATAGCACTTTATTTTCATAAGCCACACTTGGAAGGTCTAGTTTTGGTTTTAAACCTTTAATCCTCTCATCTTACCTATTCCGTCCCCATTCTGTTTTAATCACCCACTTAAGAGATGCATATAAATAATTTATTATTAAGTGTAATGGAGTAGTTTAAGCCACAATGAAATCTAACTTTCATCCACTTTGTTTTATCCAAAACTTCTATCATATTATTTAGCCTACAAATTCTATTTATCTCAACCATAAACCTTACTCTATTCTTACTTTTTCTGCTTCTACTTTAACCAGTCTAATGAAAATTGTTAACTTCTAAGTACAGTGTTAAGGTCTGAATACACTAGAATACCTTAAAACTACACTGAAATTTCACACATTATTTGATATAAAAGACCAACTTCTGACATTTTTCGTAATCTGTAAGCACCACTTAACTATAACTTATTCAGAAGATGGCTCTTTAAAATAACTACTTATCAAGTTAATCAAAATTTACCTTTATTACCAATTTGTATTTCCTGTGTTTTCTCAAAATATATAATTAAAATGATAAGACTAGGTTTTTAGAGAGATAACATGAAATAGGAAGAGTATATTATATAATGAGTTTTATAGAGTAGATTCTCACACACTATGGATCATTACAGAGTTCAATGATATTCGAAGTGATATACATATTTGAAAATGGAGCTCAATATTTGGGGATTAAAATATATATACGTATGTATTTTGATGGCTACATAAATAAAGTAAAGAATACTATTAACTACACTTTGAATAAAATGTCTGGAATTATGTTTCAGCTAGAAAGGGGAGCTCTTGTGTCTGAAGTGAACAGGGATTTTACAATATGAATGTAAGGTTTCCAAAACAGCTACAGAACTTCTTTAATGAAGGTGCTATCCAAGATGGCCATGAAGCCCTGAGCATAGCTTTCCATTCATTTATGTTGGAGACTGGTTTTCAACCACGTGTAAGTTTTATTTATGAGTATCATTGAAGTACTAAAAACACACAAACTTAATAATCAGTATGAAATAAAAAAAGAAAGGAAATAAATGTGCTACAAGACTCACAAGAATATATTATATATATGTTTGTTTATTTTTACAAGTGTTATTAATTTAATAGACTAAGCTTTTTTAATTAAACCATTATTGACTGTGCGCTCGTGTTAGACGTGTCTCCAGTTGAGTTTTTTTTCTCCAATAGGATGGTAAATCTGTAGAATAAATTGCTATCCTATAGTAGTAGAGTTTAAAGAAAAAGGTTGATGAATATTTTGGCAATCAAAGCTGGATATGGTGGTTAGTTTTCTGTTTATTGAGGAGAACATCCTTGAAGGACAATTTCTTTTCAGGCACATTGTTTTTATATATTAAGAGTAAAAAACACAATTTGACATTTTTTGGCACAATGAAAGGTAAAATCTATATTTTTTGCAATAGCCAACTAGTTTTGGTAACACAGTTACCATCATCAGGGCTAATGTCTACATTAGACATTTTGTATTTTTTATCCTTTAAGGACCAAAAAAAAGCCCCCAGATGTTCCATAGTTTATATTTATAATTCCATAAGTAGTGAGAAAGAAATATATAAAGGTACGCGTGTTTTTGTGATTTATATAGTTTTATTACACAAGAAATATATTTTCCATATACTGGATGCAAGCATTTTGTTCCAATATTATTTTTGAGTTTTGTTTGTAAGTCTGTTTTCAGACTTACATTGAGACACTACCTGTTGATCATTATGTGCACATTGTGTAAGCTCCTTGTTATCTGTACTGAACAACTAAATAATGTGAGAAATGCATGGTCATGAACATATTTCACAACAAGTATACATTATATGTAGTGTCAGTAAAAAATTTGCCTCTCATCCTTATGTCAGCATTCTTGTAGTAAATGTTGTGTAGCAAATGTGTACTTGTAAGGAAAATATGTGCTTTATTTTTATCTTTTCAATATAATACACATTTAAAATACTAATTTAATACATTAGAAAAACAAAAAGAGCTTAAGATAACTATGGAGGCAAGCCTGGAGTTTATTTTGTCAGTTACCTACTTTATGGGAATGGTTAGGATAAAAATTAACAGAGAGCAAATCATAGTTTCAGCTCTACAGGAAAAAGTAAATGTTAGGTGAATAAAAAAAGTATGAATAATAGTAAAATTTATGTGAATAAAGAGTATGAATATTAATGAGATGTGTACAGGAGTGTTGGAGAAGGAATGCTGTCTATAATACTAAATTTATTATGTGTATCTACACAAAATGTAGCAAGCTTATAGTAAAGTGTACAAGTCTGCTGTACACAAAAAGAAAATCATGTTACAAAAGTATTTGTTCCCCAGATATGTCTGTGAATTGATGATGTTAGTCTTTGACAAATCAGAATGCAAGATAATGTTCATGAGAAAAATAAACATACTTTTTTCCATTATTCAGTTTGCATATTGCATTTGCATAACCTTTTGAACTTCAAATATGAATAAATATTTTTCCTTTTCTATATGTTATATCTGGTATTTACTCTCTACTATGAATTGTCACTAAACCAGCAAGGTAAGTTAAAATGAATAGATAATAACTCTTACATCAAATATGTAATACCACGTTGAACAGCACTTTGTAAGCCTTCTTGGCATGTGCATTTTGACCCCCAACCCATGCACATAAGGTTATTTTATTCCTGCAAGAAGTGCTTGTCTTTTAAACTTTTATCTTCATTATAAAGATATTTTAGAAAGCCAGTATCATTAGAATATGCTTAAAATTATATGATCCAAAGATATCACTTAATTTTGGTAATTATTCTTACTTAATACCTTGGAATTAAAATTTCACTATTATTATAAAATATTTCAGGATACAAAGTCAAGTGAAGAACTACCAAATAGTTGGAGGAAAGCTGGAAGCTATTGTGTGACTTACTCTCATCCAACATGTCCAGAAGTTACGTGTACACTAACCTGTGTTCCAATTGGATCATTTTTGATATCTTATTGTAGGTTTTAACCTCTTTACGATATGATGATGATGATGGTTTTTCATAAACATTCAACTTTGAAATGTCAAAAAAAATATTTACCTTTTGTATGTTAGACTTACTTTGCATTCACTAATTCATTTTTCTGTCTATTTATGTTGTTTGTTCATACAGTTTGTTATCAAGGGATGCTCTTTAATTTTCAGCAGTTCAATATTTATAATACATAGTCAATAAATTGGAGTTAAATGCTTGGAAACTAAATGAAATTATTTGGAATTTTTCAGTTAATTTAACAAATTTACAAGTCATCTGAAAGTTAGTAGCATATTTACAGGTACATTATTCGTGTTCTTGTTGTACAAAGTGACTTAACATTGCTGTTTGTTTACATTTAGCATATAAAGATTTTTTATTTAGTGTTTACAGAAAAATCTCTTGATAGCCCAATTCAACTTAAGATGAAAGTCCAGAAATACATTGAAGAGGATTTTAAAAATTCAGGTAATGTAAAAAAGTAATCTTTTTTTTTGTCAGAAGTTATTAGTAACTTCATATGTCTCACCATAAAACAAAATAGTTATAAGGATTGAATATCAAGATTTATACTCAATTTGTTTTTAGCCTATCAGGAAGTAAGGATATTTCATTGTCCTTTATACATTTTCAGTTCATTCTTGAGGGATAACGTTATTACTTGCAGCTGACTGATCTTTAACCCTTATCAGTTTATATCTAGTAAATATTCTTTATTTTGTTAATTGTATTCTCTAGGGATGATAGTTTCTTAGCGAATAAAAACATGTTTTGAGATAGGTATATATATATATATATTCTAGAAAAATCATATTTTGTATTTTTTTTTGTGTATTACATTAACTTGATTTACAAATGATAAGATTTCAATTCTAAAACTTCTTTGAGTAAATAATTGTTTAAATATAGTTAGAATTATTACTTAAATATGATACTCATGTATGCATGCGACACCTAAAAAGTGCTCACTCTGTGGATAAGGTTAATGGAGTCTAATCGAAGTAGACCCTTGCACTAGTGGAGTGCCTCAAGGATAAGTGCTTGGGACTTTTTCTTATTTACATTAATGATATTGATAGAGGCATAACTTGCAAATTGGTAAAGTTTGCTGATGACATCAAACTCTTTGGTATTTCTAGCAGTATTGAGGATGTTGAGGTAATACAGCATGACTAGGATCAGCTGGTTAGTTGGACAAGTAAAATTTGTTTATAGGAAGTGCAAGATAATATAGTTGGGGTATTGTAATTTAGATTGCATATTAATATGGATGGGAACCTACTCTATAACGTGACTGGAAAAAAGATCTTGGTATAGTAATGACTTTGTCACTCAAGCCATCAAAATAGTGCTCTATTGCAAGTAGTAAGTTTAATAGGATTTTTAGGATGCATTTATAAACATACTTATTACAAGTCAAAGGAGGTAAAGTATCTTTTTATATACATTATTAGTTAGACATCACTTGAAATACTGTGTACAGTTTTGATTTTCTTATTTAAAAAAAGATATTGGAAAAGGTGCAAAGGAGAGCTACTGGTATGATTCTGAGATAGAAGGGTTATTTATGGGATAGGTTATGACCTCTTAACTTGTTTTCACTTGATTAAAGAGGGTAAAAGGTGATCTTATTGAAATTTATTAAATTATTCAGGGAAGTGATGAATACAAGTTTCTGATTTTTTTTGTGCTTTATTCTGAAGACAATAGGAAGAGACAAATTTAAGACACTAGACTGTTATCTAATGAATTGTTCAGGCATGATGATTTATATTTGGTGATGACCAGTGTTTTACATCACAGATAACACTAGCTAGTGAATTGTTCAGGTATAATGCTTTATATGTGGTAAATGACCAGTGTCTTGCATCACAGGTAACACTATAGTGAGTGAATTATTGAGGCATAATGTTTTATATTTGGTGATGTTCAGTGTCTTTCATCACATCCTGGTGAAAAAGTCATGTACCTTCACATTTGTGAATTGAAAAAAATAATAGAGAACTTATCTTTTATTGGATTTTAAATTTTATTTTTGTAAATAGTAGCACAACATTCAATTATTTGTCCTAAATTGTATTGTTTAATGAAGTTTCAAGAGAAATTTAATAAAAAAAAAATCTCAAAATATGTTTGAGACTATAAATAAGTGCCCTTTAAGAAGAAAATTTTTTTTCAACATTTTTTAAAATTTTTTCCTTGCACTTTAGTGCTGGTCCTGCCATCTATGATTGGTATCTAAACTTTTTCTCGTCTGTCTTCTTTATAACACAGTGTCTGGGCATGTTAAACCCCAGTTATAAAACTTTTAGCCAATCCTAGTCAAAGGTGTCAGTTTCAGTACCATGTTATTCCAATTGCTGTATTTCACGTTTGACAAATCAAAGAATGATAAGCAAAGCACGTGATGAAACGTTGTTCTCTGGATTTTACAATGTGAGTGTGGGTGGTGCGTATTATAGTACTTGCCATTTTATGTAGAGGTTGTATTTAGTATTGGTCAAAATTACTTTTTTATAAGCCTTAGAAAACTTGCTTCTGGAAAAAACTGCATGGGATGTATGTGACTTTTATTATTTTTCTATAGTAGCTTAAGTCATGTTGTATCGTACATCAATTTATATTAATCATTATATTGAAAAATTAACTCAAAATAGATATATTTTTAGGAAAGAAGTTGATCCACAAATGTTAGGGTTAAGAGCTATCGATTGGCGAGTGCAAGGTCTTTACGTGAATTAGGCTTAGCACTTTGAACTGAAAGAGTTTGTGATTTATATTCTTTTGCATTTAATTTAGTAGGTTTAAGTTCAGTAATTTAGCGTAATTTGATATTTAGTTCATAATAAAAGTATGATTCAGTATTTAGAATGATAAACTAGTGTGATTTGTACGTACTACTAGTACCAGTACCACATAAGAATTTTTCTTTCTTACTATCTTTACTTTATAGTAAGACCCA